GACAGGTATGGGGTTTCTAGGGGGCTGTGGGATGTGGGGAGAGGGAAGGTGGCTGGGGAGGTGTGTGGCTGTGTGTGCATGCGCACAGCAGTGAGCAGGGCTCCCCCCAGAGGTGAATGGGTGTGTGTGGGGGAGTGTGCAATTTGTGGGCGGGTCTGGCAGAGGGTGTGTGGATGCAGTGTTTGTGGGGTGTGTGATTGTGTGTAGGGGAGGGTTTCAGGGTATGGGGGCCTGTGCATGCACCCCCTTGAGCCAGTCAGCACCTGCCCCTGCCCCACAACAGCCTGAGCCCGTGCACCCTGTGGCACCTCCCAGCCACCACCAACTGCGCCTGTTCTGCACTGGCCAGCCATTTGTATTATGTACTTCAGCATGCAGAGAGCCAAGAGTGCAGCCCAGCAGCTTGGAGAGCAGTGGCTGGCTGGTAAGTCTGTTGCAGGGAAGGGAAGCAGGGGGCAGATTGTGGACCCCATGGTGAGGGAGGGAACAGGGCTGGAGTAGGTGCTGCCCAGCCAGGGTGGGGTGGGGCATGGGACCGAGTTGCGAGCAACTTGTTTTAAGGTGAAGATCACTTTTTGAAGTAAAGGGCAAACCAGAATCTACTGTGCTCCCTCCCCCAACCCCGCCCAGCAAGTCAGTCTGGTGTGGGGGGAGGGCCACATCGAGGCCCCCACAGTGAGGTAGGGGGTGGGGCAGAGGTGAGGGAGGCCCAGCCCAGGCTGGGCAAGGGTCAGAGCTCCCACCACTGGACACACCCCAATGGAGGCTTGGGGGCACATGCTCCCTCCAGTCTGTGCATGGGGCCAGGTGGCTACTGCTGTGCATTGGGCTTTGCACCCTGAGCCCCAATGGAGGCCTGGGGGGCACATGCTCCCCCACAATCTGTACGTGGAGCCAAGCAGCTGCCACTGTGCATTAGGCTTTGTGTCCCAAGCCCTGCTGCAGCTCGAGGCGCAAAGCCCAAAGCACAGCAGCAGCTGCCTGGCCCCATGTACAGACTGGGGAGAGCATGTGCCCCCTGGGCCTCCATCGGGGTGCATGCAGTGGCAGGAGCCGCCCCTCATGCACCTAGATGAGCCACCCAGGCTCTGACTTTTCCCCAGCCAGGGCCCCACTCATTTGGTGGCAGGGGGTGTGGAGGGGGATCGTCCCACAGCAGCATGGGGTGTGGCTCAGCAAAGCCACGTGCAACCTGCCGCCTGTACATCCAACCACTTCTGGACTGCGTCCTGACCACTCCCCACGTCATGCTGCTCCTGATCACGGAGCCTGACAGTTGATCTCAGTCTGGGGGGACTAGCCACCCCAGACTGAGATCAATTGTTAGAGGCTCCCCAATCAACCACTGATAGATTGTGGAGGTCGGTGACCACTGATCTAGTGCTAAATAACTTCAATCTGTTTCCCACCTCTGAACTCTTCTTTTAAATATAGTTTGGAAAGGGCTTTCTTCTACACAGGATCTCACTCCTTCCGCAGCTTAATATCTTTATATCCAACTGGACTCCAGGATTACCATGCTTCCTAGGCCTATGGTAGAAGGAAGGATGCCCATCTGTGCAGAGGACATGCCTCTCCTGTGCTGTCACCACACTACACATGAAAGATATGACTAAAACCCTACAAAGAGGCTAAAAGTGTGGAGGGGATGCTATAGATGTGTGACAGAGTTGGGAGAGGCAGGGGAACCACCACCTCTCCTCTAACCAGGATGCAGACCAGCTCCAGAGCCACTGTGATGTACAGGCTGAGCATCACAGAAATAATACAGAAATAAGACCTGTGCTTTCTCCCTGCCCCTCCAACCTTGACAGCATCAAAAGAGCTTTGCCATAGTTAGTAACTCATTCCACTTCACTGCTGGATTCCCTTTCCCTCATGGCCATGTGCTCCCCTCACCTGCTTAAATGATTTCTCCCCTTCCTCTCCTCTTTCTCTTTGGCACTTGCCACTGTGCTCCCCAGCTTCCTTCCATCCCTGCAGTCAGAGGTGGGCCTCTGCCTGATTGTTACTGGTAGGACTTGAGGCATACGAGGGCAATAGCTCAGCACGAAAAGGGGACACCATACAGGTAAAATTCTGCCGCTCCCCTCCGGCCTGGCAATTCACTTTCTGGTGCCACATTATGACACTTAACAAGCTCAGAACATGTGTAATGCTCTATGTATTACCTCATCTCTGCTAATGAGCTCATTGGAGAAAGTCAGTCCAGGCATCAGGCCTCTCTTCTTCAGCCAAAATATGGCAGCAAAAGATCCTGAGAAGAAGATTCCTTCCACTGCAGCAAAGGCAACCACTCTCTCCCCTGTTGAATACAACATACTTGTAGTTAGACACAGTCCAGATGTGCTGTTTGTTGCAACAAAAACATGCAGACAGCAAATCACACTAATCATCCCCATTAACCCACGCTTGCAATGCAGCCACATACACACTATACAAGGTAACAGGAAACACAGTCAATGCCTATTTAAAGCAACACCTTGTCAGAGCAACATCTCACCTAGAAGTATTTTCTTATTGTACGTTCAGATGACACTTCCTAGTACAGCAACCACCACTGAGGAGTAATACAGTACACAAGCACAGACATGTTGCTACTTCCAGGCATTAACTGGATAGGATATCCTAATTAAATTCTCACTACAGTTTCAATCACCCAAAGCAGGCAGGACATCAGGCCTATACTACTTGCTCCTCCCGAGAGGAGAGATGGTCTGTGATACGGACAAGATTCAGTTCTGGATTTCTTAGAGGTCATTGGCTTCTGCATTTCAAGTTCTGGTAGAAGGGGGGAAATATTTTACTGCCTAACAGGGGCAAGGCAAGATGCAGTTCACTCAGATTAAGAAAGAACTTTGCATTCATATTGCATATTCCATCTGAGGAAGCTGCAGCATTTCCACACATAACACTGGAAAAACAGCTTACAATTTTCAGTGTCTGCAAATGTAAGCATGTATTTTCTTCTAGGTTGGCAGATCTCCTCCGGCAGGCTTTAAACTAGGCTTGTTGGAGGAAGGGGAAGACAGGGGCGGAGGAAACATCAGACTGCCAAACCAAGCAACACCCACAAGTACAGCCCAGTCTAGGCCGACGAGCAGAACATATACACAGGTAAGCAACA